GCCCTGGCTTTGTGGGAGGGACAATTAAGCAAATCTCTCTTCTCGCTCTCTCAGTGTAAATGAGAGGTCCTATAACCGAAGGAAGCAGTGTTTATTTCTCAACTTTTGAAGTATGACAGCTCAGCTACTTGAAATAAAAATACAGACATTTGTTAGGATTTGAAGGCAAGTTTTTTGTAACATTGTCCTCATTAATCCTGTCAGCCGTGCATTTTTATTCTGCCCTTCAACACTTGCTAAAGATACACTACTTTTTTTGGCTCAATCAAACTGGCTGTGAAACTTCCCTGCCACTGCCAATAGGCACAAGATAAACACTGCAAAGTCATGCCAATACTCTCATTATTCCCTCTGACCAGGGCGAGCTTTTCTAAAGCAAACCACTCTCCAACACCTAAGGAATGTTGTAGGGGGGTGAACACCTGCTCTGGCCCTGGAGGGGTTAGAAAAACCCTGCAGAGGGCTGGGGCTGGGCAAAGTAAAACCCTGGCTGATTGGGGGAAGTGGCTGCAGCTGGGCCACGCCCCAATCAGGCCTCAGCTGGCCTGTATAAAGAGGCTGGGAGTCAAAAGCTCAACAGTCTCTCTCTGCCTTCAGAGAGAGAAGGGCCTGGCAGTAGGGAGCTAAAGACAGAGTACCTGAGTGGAGCAGGGCTGGGAACAGGCTGGGGAGCTCCAGCCTGGATAGCCCCAGGCTGTGGCCTAGTAGGAGGCCAAGGGGTACTGGGGGTTGCAGAGGGCAGCCCATGGGTAGGCTAAGGCAGCAGGTCCAAACCCAACCTTGCCTGTGATGAGTGGCCTATACTGCAGTCAGCCCCAGGGAGTGGGGGCTAGTTGGTGACTGGCAGTGGCCTTATTCTGAGGTGAGGTAGGGATAGTGGGTGGGGGTTCCCCAGGGAGGGGAGACCCTAATACTGAGGAGTGTACTGCCAAGGGGGCAGCACCCCAGATACAAGGGCACTGGGGGGGGGCACGGGGCCAGAGGATGGGTGGATCACTGGCCTGCAGGGGGTGCTCCAGGATGTTGGAAGAGCTAATTCCCAGAAGTGACCAGCAGGAGGCACCGCAGGGGTGAGTCTGCTCCCCTATAAATGTCTACACTTAAAATGATACAAGAGCAGAGTTGCTCCACTGCAGCTGCACTGCTGTAGCTCTTCAGTGTAGACACTACCAATGCAGATGGGAGGGATTCTCCCATTGGTGTAGGCCAGCAGTTCTCAAACTGTGGGTTGGGACCCCAAAGTGGCCAGGGCTGGCTTAGACTTGCTGGGGCCCAGGGCTGTAGCCCGAGCCCCACCACCTGGGGCCGAAGCCAAAGCCTGAGGGCTTCAGCCCTGGGTGGTGGGGCTTAGGTTACAGGCCCCCTGCCTGGGACTGAATCCCTTGGGCTTCAGCTTTGGCCCTCCCACCCAGAGCAGTGTGGCTTGGGCTTCAGTCCCCCCTCCTGGGGTTGTGTAGTAATTTTTGTTGTCAGAAGGGGATCGCGGTACAATGAAGTTTGAGAACCCCTGGTGTAGGTAATCCACCTCCCAGAGAGGCGGTAGCTAGGTCAACTTCCCACTGTCTACACTGGGGGTTAGGTTGGCTTAACTACACCACTCAGGGCTGTGGTTTTTTCACACCATGAGCAACGTAGTTAAGCTGACTTAATTTTCTAGTGCAGGCCAGGCCTTAATGTGGCTTAGATTCAGGCACTGACCAGCAGCAGAACTCCTAGACAAGCAGAGTGAAATTCAAGAGTTTCCTGGGCAACTTTCAGATACTTCCTTATTTCCAATAGTAGGAACAACAAAGTGACATTGAGGGTCATGTTGGACTGTATGAACAGGAATCCTGGCTTGGTGTTATGGTGTGACAGAGGAAATAGACCTTTTTGTGAGGGAGCAGTGTCGTACTATATAATTCCAGTTCCTATTGTGATCCCTCCGGAGGCAGAATTAAGGCTGGGTCTATATGTCCTGCTTGGAGCAGCACCTTAACTATGCATTTGCTGGGTTTGTAAGTCGGGTTTGTTTGTTTTTTTTTCTTCCCACATGAACATTTCTTCCAGGGAGATGTGGAGAGGTTGTAACCGAGGATTTCCTGGATTCCTAATGTTTGAGTTTGGGGGTTTGAAGTCCCATGCCAGGCACAGGGCATTGTTGTAAGGCACCAAGTGTAGATTCAGCATAATGAAGGCTTTTGTAAATGAATTTCCTTTTTTAAAAACATGTGACTGAACCAGGCTGCAGGAGGCTCTGACATCTGTCAATGGAGTGGTTTAACCTCTGGGATACCCAGGCTTTGCAGACGATACTGGAGGTTTCTTTAAGTCTCGGAAAGTTGAATTCTGGGGTCATCCCTGACAGTGCTCCAGAAACAGCCCCCAGTGGAGGGAACGGCATACACAATGGCTCCTTAAGAGTCACCATTTCATCAAAGGACTGACAGGCTAAAATACCCACTACACTGACACAAAACTACCCTCAAGCCCGTACCAGGCCAAGTTCATAGAATATCAGGGTTGGAAGGGACCTCAGGAGGACGTCTAGTCCAACCCCCTGCTCAAAGCAGGACCAATCCCCAGTCTCTATACAAACCTTGTAAGGACTGACCCAGCCTTGTGCCCTGGCTCCCCAGCCCAATTTTCCATATCCCCTGGGTCTTTCTGATCCTTGCACTCCCTTCAGCCCCTACCCAACAGAGATCCAGCCCCCTCCCCTTACACCACAGGGACAGTGCCAACTTTACTGCCATGCCCATAACCCCTCCCGCAGCTCTAGGTCTCCTGCACTTCTCCTCCACACCCAAGAAAGCTTCAGCCCACTCATTGCTCCCTGGACAGCTCTGGCCTTTTTCATGTCCCAAATCTTTTTGGGTTTATTAACACAGCCCCTTGTGAGATGCCGGCATTTGGATATCCCCATTTACTGACAGGAACTGAGGCACAGAGACAAAGGCCACCTCACGACTTGTGCCTCCAAGGACTGTGCTTGATACAATTTGCTCCATATCACTCAGAGTGCGTGGCAGACCAGCCCTAGAACCCACTTCTTGTGGTCCTAGTGTGTGTCCCTTCACCACAGGTCTATCTTCTCATTCGCTACACACCCATTTCAATGTGTTCAAGTATTGCTAGGCAAAACTGTCTCTGCTTAACATAGAGCAGCATGGAGGTGGTCACGTAGGAATAGCTCCATTGTCCAGATAACACAGCTAAGCACATAAATTCGGCTTATCCTTTCAGAGAGACAGGGTGGATAAGAATTGGTGCTGCTATGTGAGGGTGTGACGTTCCCCTCTGGTGTGATCTGGACCAGTGATCTGCTAGGTCACTCCAATCCTTGACTCTGGGAGCCAGCCTTACCCTGTTCTGCTGTGAGAACCCCCGCTCCTGGGCTGTTCACGCACAGCCTCTGGCATGTAAACTGCTCCTTGGATTGTGCAATTGAATGACACTAGCCAATATCTCCGGTCCCAGACACAACCCTAGGAACCTCTGTCTTGCAGTGTCCAGTCATGCCAGCTGGACGCTGCAAGCTTATATGAGTTCGTCAATTTAACAAAGACCTTGATATGTACCAGGCTTGTTATCCCAAGGAGAGTCTCTGACAGGCTTCAAACCAAACGCACTGCTTCAGATAGAATAAACAAACAGATTTTAAGTGATTATAAGTCAAAGCATAACAAGTCAGATTTGGTCAAATGAAATAAAAAGAAAACGCATCCTAAGCTGATCTTAACACTTTTAATGTCCTTACAAACTTAGATGCGTCTCACCACAAGCTGGCTGATTGCTCTTCAGCCAGGCTCTCCCCTTTGATCAGCGCTTCAGTCGCTGGGTGGTGGTGTCTGCAGATGGAGGTGGAAGAGAGAGAACATGGCAAAATGTCTTTCCCTTTTATCATGTTCTTTCTTCCCTCTTGGCTTTGCCCCCACCCTTCAGAGTCAGGTGAGCATTACCTCATTGCAGTTCCAAACTGACCGAAAGAAGGAGGGTGACTCCCTCGAGAGTCTAACAGATTCTTTTATTGCTGCCTAGGCCAGTGTCCTTTGTTCCTGTGAGGCTGCGCTGGGTTTGTCCCATCCATGCCCTGATGAGGTGTGAACTGCCCCTCTGCTCTTGAAGAGCTTTTGCCTGGGCTTGCTTTAAGCCATGAGGATTCATTTTCAGTCTCAACTATATTCATGAAATTATAACATTACTATAACATCACTCTAACAATTATTATAACATCAATATAACAACCATGCTCAGTGCATCATGAGCCTTCCGAAGACACCTGACATGACAAATTTTGCATTGGATACCACACAATCATTTTACAAGGATGAACATGGGGGTGCTGGGTGTTCCCCCGAGGTACAGAGCATCACAGAAAGACCTTGGCTCTCCTAGGAGTGACTTCATGGACCGTCTCTCAGGCCCTCAACATAAGTTCAGGCTGATTTGACAATTTGCATCCTCTCAAATCTGACAAAATTTGGTTTTAAAAATAAACTTCATTACAACCTTAATTAGCAGAACAGAAATTCCATCACTTAGAACCACAGCATCCCCATCACGGATCAGCAACTGAGTTTGAACACAAGGCCTTCCCAGCTGAATGCCTTCTCTTAACCACTTGAACTAACACACTTTTCAAGTGGGCTGCATAGCCATTTAATGACCAAGGATGGTGAGAAATCAGAATTCTTGGGTTCTGTTCCTGGATCTGGAAGGGAAACATTTCTATTGATTTCAGCAGTGGCTAGAAAACATATACAGTGAACAACTTTGTGGCAAAAGACTGTGTTAGCATTCAAGTGACTTGGGTCTATACTATTGGAGAGTTGAGTTCTAATCCCAGTTCTACCTGATGTGACCTTGTGCAATCTCAGTTAGCTTAAATGTAGAACTGGAGAAATGATAGTTGTCTGCTCCTAGCATAATGAACCTTTGGCAAAAATAAGGGTTGTAAAACATGCAGCTATATTAATAGCAGTCAGCAGCAGAGGAGATTTGGGCCATGTGTACACTACAAAATTATGTAGACCTAAATTATGCTGGCACAAAGCTGCTGCAGTTATTACATTGCTTCTGTGTGTCCACATTATGCTCCTTGTGTCGGCAGTGCGCATTCTCACTAGGAGCGCTTGTATTGATGCAGAGAGCAGTGAACTGTGGGTAGCTGTCCCATTGTGCAACTTGCCGCCATGTAGCGCAGGGTGTTTTGAGAAGGTTTTGCAATGCTTCGTGGGGCTGAAACGAATCACACAGGGTGTCTGGTAGCATGGGTTCAACTTCCTACAATGCAGTGTTCTCTATCTCATAATTTCATCTGCATCCCATGATATTTTGTGTCCTTTTCAAAATCACCTGCACAAACCTGAACGTCCCTCCTCACGGTCTGCCATCTGTGACAGAAGCATAGATCTTGCACAGCTCTGCACTATTGTGATGAGTGTTGCGCGCATATCCACCTGATCCTCCGGTATTTGCAGAGCCGCAAGAGGAGCCACAGGGAACGTGATGATTCTCTGGAGGCTAGCTTGCTGTGGGACATAAAAAGAAACAAATCAAAGGTGTTGGTGGCATTCACAGAGCAGCTTCAGACAGTAGAGTGCCAGTTTTGAGCCCAAGACACAAGCACTGACTGGTGGGATCGCATTGTCATGCAGGTTTGTGATGACGAGGAGTGGATGCAGAACTTTCAGACGAACAAGGCCACATTCCTGGATCTGTGCACCAGACTCGCCCCAGACCTCCAGCACAGGGACACCAGACTGAGAGCTGCACTGACAGTGAAGAAACCAGTGGTGATCACACTGTGGAAACTTGCAACACCAGATTCTTACTGATCTCTTGCGAGTCAATTAGAGTTGGGAAATCCAGCACAGGGGCTGTTGTTATGCAAGTGTGCAGGGCCATTAATCGCCTCCTGCTATGAAGGACTGAGACTCTGAGCAGTGTGCAGGACATAATGGATGGTTTGCAGCAATGAGGTTCCCAAACTGTGGCGGGGTGATGGATGGCATGCACATCCAATTTTGACACTAGACCACCTTGCCGCTGAGTACATCAACAGAAAGGGCTACTTTTCTATGGTAATGCAAGTGCTGGTGGATTGCCAGGGATGCTTTACTGACATCAATGTAGGCCAGTCAGGGAAGGTGCATGACACACGCATCTTTAAGAACACAGGCAAGGACTTTCTTTCCTGACTTTCTTTCCCGATGTTGAAATGCCAGTAGTTATCGTGGGAGACTCAGCCTACCCCTTGCTCTCATGGCTTATGAAGCCACACACCAGCCATCTCGACTGCACCAAAATGCACTTCAACTACAGGCTGAGCAGATGCAGAATGATAGTTGAAAGTGCCTTTGGTCATTTGACTGGTCGCTGGTGCTTTCTGCTCATGAAACTGGACCTCAGTGGAAAAAAAAAATTCCAATCGTTATAGCTACCTGCTGTGTCCTCCATAATATCTGTGAAGCAACGGGGGGAAACTTCCACAGTGGAGGTAGAATGGCAGTCTGCTAATTTTGAGCAGTCAGATAAGCAGGGCTATAAGAAAAGCTCAACGAAGAGCTATACAACTCAGCGAGGTTTTGAAAGACCATTTTAATTGTGAGTCAGAGTAGTGTGTATTGCTGTAGTGTATACAACCTGTCCTTGCTCTTTTGAAGCCCTGTATGAACCCTTTGGTGGGTGCTGTGTGCGTGGTAATATAACATTACCAATGCACGTATTAAAATTGTCTGTGAATGATGCCAGCACCACCCAGCATATGTTGTGAACTAATAAAGAAGAATTATATTTCTAAAACCAGACTTTTATTGCATAACAATGCAAATAGAAAAACATTTATAACTTAATAAATTAGAAGGAAAAAAAACTTATGAAGGGGAAAGAACAATCATTTCCATTTCAGATACCTATACACTGACCTGTGAAAGACATGTGAAGCTGTGAATGTCTTTAATGTCCCAGAAGTGGAGGGGTAGGGGTAGTTCAGCAATGCCTGATGCCATGGGGAATGTTGCAGGGGTGTAGGGAGGTCCTGATATGCAGTTCTCTATGGGCTGCAGAGAGAGGTTTAGCATGGGATTGTTGAACCTGCAGGTCCACCAGAGTCTGACTGCAGCATGTCTGTCTGCTGCCTGAGATGTACAAGCATCTCCTGCTGCACATTCCTCTCCTTTTCCGGCGCCTTTCTCCTCTCCGCTCTGTCCCTGTCCATGTTGTCTGCAAGGATGATCCTCCAAGTCCTGTGGATAATGGTGCCAGTATTCAGTTCAATTGCCCTATACACACTCATGCCCATGATCTACCCCCATCATTTCCCCCATTCGCCCCCCACCCCAGGGCTGTATTCACCATGGCTGGTGCTGTGAGTGCTCCTGTGCAGTATAGATCCCACGGAGAAATGAGACTGTAGTGCTTACAACTTGTGTGGATCAAGGGGAGTGAGTTCAGTATCCTAAGTTTAGATTGATCTTGAACACACTGAACTCTGTGTATTGTACCTTCAGCAGCTGTAAATGTGGCCTTGAGGGACTCTCCATCCGCACCAGTGGAATGGCTGAGCCAGAAAAGGAGGGAGGAAGAGGACTCGGGATGATATGTCCCAACAGATCCCCGGTTCCCTCAGCCTCTCCGCGTAAGTCACGTGCCTCAGCCCCCTAATCATTTTCGTTGCCCTCCGCTGGACTCTCTCCAATTTGTCCACATCCCTTCTGTAGTGGGGGGACCAAAACTGGACACAGTACTCCAGGTGTGGCCTCACCAGTGCTGAATAGAGGGTAATAATCACTTCCCTCGATCTGCTGGCAATGCTCCTACTAATATAGCCCAATATGCCATTGGCCTTCTTGGCAACAAGGGCACACTGCTCACTCATCTCCAGGTCCTTTTCTGCTGCTTAGCCAGTCGGTCCCCAGCCTGTAGAGGGGCATGGGATTCTTCCGTCCTAAGTGCAGGACTCTGCATTTGTCCTTGTTGAACCGCATCAGATTTCTTTGGCCAAATCCTCCAATTTGTCTAGGTCACTCTGGACCCTATCCCTACCCTCCATTGTATCTACCTCTCCCCCCAGCTTAGTGTCATCTGCAAACTTGCTGAGGGTGCAATTAATCCCATCATCCAGATCATTAATAGAGATGTTGAACAAAACCGGCCCCAGGACTGACCCCTGGGGCACTCCGCTTGATACCGGCTGCCAACTAGACATTGAGCCGTTGATCACTACCCGTTGAGTCCCACAATCTAGCCAGTTTTCTATCCATCTTATAGTCCATTCATCCAATCCATACTTTTTTAACTTGCTGAACATAGGAACATAAGAACGGCCATATTTTCTGTCTTGTTTTTCTTTAATCTGGAAAACTTGCAGTGTATGTTCTCACGTATCAAAAGGACACTGCTGAAGTGTTCCAAATAGCATTTTCAGGTGCCTAAATAACCCCTGGAATCACATTAAAGTTGCCACCCCCACCAAAATCTGAAATGGCACTCCTGACCTTGTCTTCCTTGTCTGTGCTCACGGCAGGGACCTCCGAGTGTCCACGGGGCTCTTGGTGTGTGGGTGTGGGGGGGGAGTTTGAGGATGGCTCTTTGTAAAAGCAGCAGGTCTGTAACTATGCACCAGAGCAACTTGTTAGTTGGTTAGCCTCCCTTGCCTTCTGGTATGCCTGAAGCAGCCCCTAGGCTTTCTCACGGTGTAGGAATGTGTTGCTCCCTAATCACAAGCCTTGAAGAACGGCAAACTGTTCCCTTGGCAACGAGGCAGGAATGACCTTGTCCTAGCGTATATGTTTGGAAAACTTATTGGCAACCTGACATCACCTTTGCAGCTGGTGTTCACGCGCTCAGGAGATGGGTTTGTAATCTCATGTGCATGTATACTGCCTGGCTTCTTCATGCGCAAAGAATGTAATCACTAAGAAGTGTTGTAAACAAAGTAAGGAGAGAATAAAAACCCCAGGAAAAGTTTTCCTGGGAGGCTTTTTGCAGGAGGCTTGTAAAGCTCTCTGGCTACCAACAAACCTGGTGTTCTGTTTCCTTTCCTGTGTCGTCACCACAGCTGGTGACCCCGACGTGATACCCCTCTACTCACCGGCTGGATATGCCGAGTGCACCCCACGGCTGTTTGCCGCCCCTTATTCGTGAGTATGGGGGGGGGACTCTCCAGTGCCCAGAGGGAGCACGCAAGAGAGTTACAAAAGATTATACGGCAGCGATCATGTGTCGCTGTCCCGGTCGCTCATATTGAGGACCTTCTAAGGGAAATAGATCGCCAGTGCCCCTGGTATCCTGACTGCGGGTCTTTACAGCTTTTTGATTGGATACGGATTGGAATCACCTTGTATTGTGAACCCCGTGCCCCAGTTCAGCACCTGCTGCTCTGGCAGCGTTGTAAGGAGGCGCTGGAGGGGTTCGGCCCCGACGGCCTTAAGCCGGTTTCCCCTTTGCCCCCAGGTGATGGGGCCCCCCCCTCCAACCCGCAGCTGACGCCCCCTGCGCCGCCGCCCGTGGCGGCGCCCCCCTGCCCACCGGTCAGGCGGGGGGGCGCTGACGCCGCGGCGGTGCAGCCAGCACGCGAGGCCGGTCTCTTGACCGGCGAAGAATCCAGCCGTGGGTTCGAGGCGTTCCCCGTCTCTAGGCGGGATAATGGAAACGGGGGGTGGGTAGTGGACTGGGAGGCTCTCCCCTACTCGGTTCTGCACGAGCTCCGGGGGATCTTGAAAGGTGTGTCAAACGGTTATCACTTACTCCCCCAAGATTGGAAAGACATGTGTCGCATGGTGCTGTCTCCCGCGCAATACGTTGTGTGGGACAGCGAGTACCAGCGAGAGGCGCTTGCGGCAGCAGCACATGGTGGGGGGGCTTATCTTGCTGAGCAGTTATATGGCACAGGGCAGTTTTCGGGCATCCCCGAGCAGGCGGTGGGCACGCCCCAGGTAGCTTTTCCCATCATTGGCCAGTGTGCCCGTCGCACGTTTCGCAGGGTCCCCGCTGCGGGCGAGTCCTCTAAGTCCTTTGACCCTGGCGGAGTTGCTGCAGGCGTGTGCTGATGTGGGCACTCAAACCCATCAGATGGCCCTGCTGGCAGCTGCCCTGCATAAGGGGCAGAAGCCTCAGGGAAATTGCTTTAATTGCCACCATCCATATTGATGATTAGGCGTACGGCCCTCCCCCTCCGTTGGCTCACTGACGAGCCCGTATGGGTTGCGCAGTGGCCGCTTTTCCCCAGAACATGTGCAGTGTGTATTGTAGCAGAGGTAAAGGAAATGCAAACCTACCAATATAGGTTGTGTTGTCTTGTTCAGATCACTGTGTGTTTGAAAGCAGGAGTTAGAAGTAAAAGGTAATCAAAAGTCTGGGAAAGTTAATTGTGACCCTTTTTAAGTAAGAATCTTTAAGCTGTGGATAGCTTTGGATCTGGAAGCAAGCCAGAAAGCATTTGTATTAATGCAATTTTCTAACTGATAAGGTAGAAGCCACTGAAACCTGGGCTGCCTATAAAACAAATACAAGGAAATATTTTAAGCAATGACTGACTGCCCAGAAGGGGTAGACCTCTGTTCTTTTGTTTTTCAAATCATCAGAGAAAACGGATGCCAGCTAAACAGCATTCAATGTACCATGCATTTATTGGCACAATAGGGATTATTTTTGTGTTTTATGGCAAAAATTGTTGTTAAGAATTGCATACCAACAGTCTTTGGAAACAAGGACATGGAAGGTTAACCCACTCCCCATATTGCCCATGGGATCCTTCTGGCTACCTCAAATTTCTAGCCAAAGGGCTGGGAAGGGAGAAAAGCAATTAGACACCTAAGGTTGTACCGAGTGAACTCCTCAAAAGTGGGTGTGCTTGTCCCGGTTTGTTGCTCCAAAGCTCTGTAATACAGTTATTTTACTGAAAGAGTGTATATGGCATACATTGAATAATAAGACTAATGTACTGTATAAAGGCAAGGTGTATGCGTTCATTGTTGGGAAAAAGTGTATAAGTAAAGAGTGCAAGTTTCCTTTGTAGGTTAAAAGAAGCTGAGAAAGGGAAAAGAGGAAAAAGCACAGAATGAGTTAATTGAGAGGAAAATACAGCTTGCAGGCTCATCCAAGGTCATAGCCAAAACTTGGCTGACCCCCAAGACAAGGGGGGGGGGGGCTTGAATGTGCCCGAGCAACAATGAAATTTGCAAAACACTGCCAAGCATTAATGAAATGTGTTAGGTCTCGCTTTCACAGGAAAAGAAGTGCTACTCAAAGACCCTAGCACCCCTGCCATTAATTGAAACAAGTAAACTGAGTCTATGTAAAGTCCATCAACGAAAGACTGCTTTGGCTCCATGCTGGAAAGGCCCTTTCCAAGTCCTGTTAACCACCAACACCGCTGTGAAGTGCCAAGGACTGACTGCCTGGACCCATGCTTCTCACTGCAAAAAGACCCTTCCACCTCGGGAAAACTTTCTAACTGATGATAAGCCTATTTCTCCTTCTAGTTCTGCTGTGCCGTCTGGACAGCAGGAAAAAGAAAAAAAAGACAAGGTGAAGTGCTAGTAACCTCTCCCTTGTCCACTGACAGACCTACTGTTGCTTTAGATTTTTCTAGAAGACACAAAACCATTACAGGGTGATGTGCTAGTAACCTCTCCCCTGTATGATGCTAAACCACACTGTTTCAGGAAAAGAGAAAAAGGAACATTTGCTTCATTGAAACCACAAAGTCCAGGAATTCCTGACTACAAGAAATATTAAGAACTGACCCTGGTGAAAAAAACAAAAAATTATACCCTGGCAGAAAGAAACTTGTGGGACCCATGCTTGAAAATGTGGTATTGATTGGATTTTGGGGTTTATTCTACAGGCTGCGCCCTGTGGTTTGGATAAGTCCCTCAGCATGTATTGCCCTCCCTAACTGGATTTTAAATGATAAGTACCAAAGGCAGCTTGTTGCCATTGCCCCTGCCATCTCCTCCATCACACTATTACCCCTGTAACACATCCAAATACAGACAATGACCCAGAAGTTGCTGACAGAGATGGTATTGAATATCACTAAGGCTGGGAAGGCATTGCAGTGGGATCTAGCATGTTCAGGCTTGGCCCACTGCCCTTACAGACACATCAGGAGTACCATCTGATCTGTGGCCATGGAAACATACTTGGAGACTTTCTGGGTGAAAGTGCAGACGTTCTCAATGCTCCTTCCAAGCATATGGACCGGTAAAGGGGATGTGGGCTCCCACATACCAAACCCTGC